TCATACCAAGCATTTTCTCAGACCACAAGGGACTGAAGCTAGAAACCAATCTGAAGGAAAAAAACCCAAAATACTCAAAATCATGGAGATTAAATAGCATGCTTTTAAACAATGAATGGGTCAAGAATGATATTAAGGAAGAAATCAAAAGGTTTCTGGAAACAAATGAAAATGAATTCACAACCCAAAACTTATGGGACAGAGCCAAGGCAGTCCTGAGAGGGAAGTTCATAGCGATACAGGCCCACCTAAAAAGGTTAGAAACATTCCAAACAAACAACCTAACCCTACGTCTACAAGAACTCGAGGAACAACAACAAATGCAGCCCAGAGCAAGCAGAAGGAAGGAAATAGCCAAGATCAGAGCAGAATTAAATGACATAGAGACTAAAAGCACAATTCTAAGGATCAATGAATCCAAGAGCTGGTTCTTTGAAACGATAAACAAAATAGACAAGCCTTTAAGCAGAATCATCAAGAGAAAAAGAGAGAAGACCCAAATAAACACAATCAGAAATGAAAGAGGAGAGATTACAACAGATACCACAGAAATACAAAGGATTGTAAGAAATTACTACAAAGAGCCGTATGCCAAGAAATTTGAAAACCTAGGTGAAATGGACAACTTTCTAGAAAAATATAATCTTCCAAAACTCAATTAAAAAGAAGCAGAAAGCCTGAACAGACCAATAACAACAAAAGAAATTGAAGCAGTAATCAAAAAACTCCCAACACACAAAAGCCTGGGACCAGATGGTTTCACAGGAGAATTCTACAAAGCATTTAAGGAAGAGCTAACCCCTATCCTTCACAGACTATTCCAAAAAATCGGAAAAGGTGGGGGTCTCTCAATCTCTTTTTATCAGGCCAACATCATCCTAATTCCAAAACCAAATAAAGACACAACAAAGAAAGAAAACTTCAGGCCAATATCACTGATGAACATTGACGCTAAAATCCTCAACAAAATACCGGCAAACTGCATCCAACAATACATTAAAAAGATAACACACTATGACCAAGTGGGATTCATTCCAGGGATGCAAGGATGGTTCAATATTCGCAAGTCAGTAAATGTAATACATCACATAAACAAAAGCAAAGACAAAAACTACATGATCATATGAATTGATGCAGAAAAAGCATTTGATAAGGTACAGCACCCATTTATGATAAAAACACTCGGCAAAGTGGGAATAGACAGAGCATTCCTCAACATAATAAAGGCCATATATGAGAGACGTACAGCCAACATCATACTCAATGGGCAAAAATTAAAATCTTTTCCACTAAGATCAGGAACAAGACAAGGCTGTCCACTTTCACCACTTCTATTCAATATAGTACTGAAAGTTTTAGCCACAGCAATCAGACAAGAAAAAGAAATAAAAGGCATTCAAATCAGAAAGGAGGAAACAAAATTGTCACTGTTTGCAGATGACATGAAAGTATACATAGAAAATCCTATAGACTCTACCAAAAAACTGCTTGACCTAATAAATAAAATTGGCAAAACAGTGGGATACAAAGTCAATATCCAGAAATCAAAGGCATTTCTGCACACCAACAATGAAATAGCAGAAGCAGAGATCAAGGAAAAAATCCCATTTGAAATAGCAAAAAGAAAAATAAAATATCTAGGAATAAACCTAACCAAAGAGGTAAAAGACCCGTATTCAGAAAACTACACAACACTGAAGAAAGAAATCAAGGAAGACACAAACAAATGGAAACATATACCGTGTTCATGGATTGGAAGAACTAATATTATCAAAATGTCCATACTACCCAAAGCAATTTACACATTCAATGCAATTCCTATTAAAGTACCAATGACATATTTCACAGACATAGAACAAACACTTCAAAACTTTATATGGAATTATAAATGACCCCAAATAGCTGCTGCAATTTTGAGAAAGAAGAGTAAAGTAGGAGGGATCACAATACCCAACACTAAACTATACTACAAGGCCACTGTAATCAAAACAGCCTGGTACTGGCATAAAAGAGGCACATAGATCAATGGAACAGAACAGAGAGCCCAGAAGTAAGCCCAAGTCTCTATGGTCAATTAATATTTGACAAAGGAGGCAGCAACATAAAATGGAATAAAAATAGCCTCTTCAACAAATGGTGTTGGGAGAACTGGACAACCATGTGCAAAAAAAATGAAACTTGAGCACCAACTTACACCATATACAAAAATAAATTCAAGGTGGATAAAAGACTTAAATATAAAATATGACACCATTAAAGTCCTAGAGGAGAACGCAGGTAGGAAAATCTCAGATATGTCACAAAGAAACTTTTTTACTGACGTGTCCCCTAGAGCAAGGGACATAAAGGAAAGAATAAACAAATGGGACCTCATCAAAATTAAAAGCTTCTGCACAGCTAAAGAAAACAGTATCAAAATTAAAAGAGAACCAAGTTTATGGGAAAACATATTTGCCAATGATACCTCAGACAAGGGTTTAATCTCCAAAATATATAAAGAACTTACAAGACTGCACTCTAAGAAGACAAGGAATCCAATTAAAAAGTGGGCAAAAGACTTGAACAGATACTTCTCCAAGGAGGACATACAGAAAATCCAAAGACACATGAAACGATGTTCAATATCGCTAGCTATCAGAGAGATGCAAATTAAAACCACAATGAGATAAAACTTCACACCAGACAGAATGGCCATCATAAACAAAGCAACAAACAACAAGTGTTGGAGAGGTTGTGGAGAAAAGGGGACCCTAGTGCACTGCTGGTGGGACTGCAGACTGGTATAACCACTATGGAAAGCAGTATGGAACTTCCTCAGAAAACTAAAAATGGATCTGCCTTTTGACCCAGCAATTCCACTGCTGGTACTCTATCCTAAGAATACTGAAACACCAATTCAAAAGAACCTATGCATCCCAATGTTCATAGCAGCACAATTTACAATAGCTAGATGCTGCAAGCAACCAAGATGCCCATCAATAAATGGATCAAAAAACTATGGTACATTTACACAATGGAATTCTATGCAGGAGAAAGAAAGAAGGAGCTCCTACCCTTTGCAACAGTGTGTATGGAGCTGAAAACATTATGCTTAGCGAAACAAGCCAGGCAGTGAAAGACAAATACCATATGATCTCACCTTTAACAGGAACCTAAATAACAAAACAAAGAAACAAGCAAAATATAACCAAAAACACTGAAAGAGAGGACAGGCTGACGGTGACTGGAGAGGAGAGAGGAGGGAATTTAAGGGGACAGTGGGAAGGGTTCACAGGAACAAACTTAAAGGACACATGGTCATAAACTAAGGGGAGGGTGGTAATGGGAGGGAAGTGGGGAGGGTTGGAGGGGGGACTGGATTGGGAGTAAAAAGGAGAGAACTGTATTTCAACAATGGTTAAAATAAAAAAAAGAATTAAACTCCTTTTCTCAAGTTTAGTATAGTCGTTATTCTACTATAAATTTTGTATCTAATTTTCATTGATTTCACTGATTTAATTTCTAAACTTAAAATTTTCAATAAGTGCTAAACCTTTAGAACAAAACATTAAAATAAATAACACCTACAAGTGTGAAAAGTGGCTGTTAGGTAATGATATGGTGTTTTTAGGATCATCCATGAAATCCTCATGGAAACCATACAGCTAAGCTTTTGTGTTCTGTGTGAGTTCACTTCTCCTGGGTATCTTCTCTATCTTGTGTTTCCATGCCTTTTGAAGAAAAAAGAAAGGAAGGAAGAAAAAATCCAAAACAAAATTCCCCAACCACTAGTACTGAACCTATTCCTAAGCAATTAAACTAGCCAAGGGCTGTTATTTTAGAGATGATATTGTAGGGCTGCAGAATTCCTTTCCTTAGTGGGCCCCATGCTGTGAATTGATTTCTCCACTTTCCTTCCCTGCTCTACCACACTTGTGTTGTTTTCAGAACCATTTATGTTTTGTGGCCATGATAAGTAATTATCGTCTACTTGAATAAAATTTTTGTTTGATTAATCATTTATCTTTTATGATTTAGTAAGAAAGTGAAATCTGTGAATATTTTGCTATGGAAATATATGTACAAATATAATGTATACAAAATTAGTAACAGAATAAATTTAAAAGTATGCATTCTAATCCACAAGGCAAATTATAGGATCTTTGGTCTCAAGGACAAAGCTCAATGTGTTAAGTCATTTGCAATAAAAAATTGGAAATTGCAAAGTAAAAATTTATATCCTTTCCTAAAGCAAAACTAGCTTGCTGGACATTAAAGCCTGTCGTTTATACCTATTGTTGGTACTTAAATAATGTGTCTTAAGAAGTAGAATTCATGACTAAACTGAAATTATTTTATTTTGTTTATTTTTTAAAGATTTTATTTATTTATTTTTAGAGAGGGAGGAAGGGAGAGAGAAAGAGAGGGAGAGAAACATCAATGTGTGGTTGCCTCTCTCAAGCCCCCAATTGAAGATATGGCCTGCAACCCTGGCATGTGCCTTGACTGGGAATCGAACTGGTGACACTTTGGTTCACAGACTGGCACTCAATCCACTGAACCACACATGCCAGGGCTGAAATTATTTTAAAATGTTCATAATGAACTGTGCAACAGTATAAAATTTAACTTTTAATATAAAAGCACAAAAATACCTTTGCTAAAACATTTTAAAATAAAAAATGTTAAAAAAAACTTTTAACAAAATGCATTGCAAGGGTGGGTATACACTGCCTACACAGCTTTAAGGCATATTAAGATTACAGAAAAGAGAAAGAATATATACTATATATTTAATTTCATAAGAAAGTCACATTATTTGGGTATAATAGAGGAAATTTTACATTGACTGTTATTTTAAAATATGTTAAAACCATTTTCAATTCCACATTTCAATAATTCTTATCCTGATATCTAAACAACCAATTCTTTCATCAACAGCACTTGCCTGTGATAGACCAGAAATATCAGCTACTCTAAACATTACTGAACTGATTTACACTGGTGAAGTGTGTACTGACCTGTTCCCCTTGAAGAAATAGGTTTTCCCAACGTCCTCCCACCAAATGGCTGAATCGATGCCATGAGGGGGAATTCCACTTCCGAGAGTAATCAAGTCATGAGGGTAACCTGGTTGAAGAGTCGTGTCCTTAAACACCCAATATTTGTTACCTGTATGAAATAAGTGCAAATTCAGAATATACTAATTCGATGCCAGAAATTAGAATATATCGATTAACAATGCATTAAAAAGGATTTTGCATGATATCCACATGATAACTTCACAGCAGTCACACCTGGAATAAGGATGTTATCTTTGAAACATCAATGCTATTTTCAGAAGGAGGTATAATGAATAACTATTTATGAACCCAATCAGAAATAATTTAAAAAAATAAAGATACATCTATAACTTGCTAAAATAAAATAGTTCTGAATCAAGGATCAAGGATGTTTGCTCTGGAAACCAGAGTCCTGCTTTTGTCTAAGTTTGGGGTTAATGTACAATGTAATGATTCAATATTTGTATATAGTGGGAAATGACCACAGTAATAAGTCTAGTTACCATCTGTCAAACTACAACTTTTTTTCTTGTGATAAGAATTTTAAGATCCGTCTTAGCACCTTTCAAATACACAGCACAGTATTGTTACTTATAGTCACTGTGCTGTACATGACATCCCCAGGACTTCTTTGTTTTGTAACTGGAAATTTGTACTCCTCAGCCTTCTTCAGGTATTTTGCCAACCCCTCCAACCCTTCTCTATTCTGGAAAATGCCAACTTGTGCTCTGTACCTATTACTTTTGTTTTTTTGGATTACACTCATATCTGATATAACATGGTATTTGTTTTTCTCTGTCTGACATATTTCACTTAGTATAATACCCTTCTAGGTATTCCAAAGATGCTGCAAATGGAAAGATTTCATTCCTATTTATGGTTTAGTGATATTCCACACTTTTAAAAAAAAACCTACTCATCAATCAATAGACACTTAGGTTGCTTCCATGTATTGGCTATTGTAAATAATGCTGCAATGAACATGGAGGTACACCTGTCCTTTTCAATTAGTGTTTTTATATTCTTTGGATAAATACCCAAATGTGGAATAGCTGGGTCATAAGGCAGTTCCACTTTTAATTTTTTGAGGAAGCCCCATACTGTTTTCCATAGTGGCTATATCAGCCTGCAATTCCCACCAACAGTTCACAAGGGTTCTTTGGTGCAGGTAGCATGAGAAATGTTCACAGAAGCTTTCTTTCCATGTTGTCCAGTTGTCTTGAGAAAGAAAGAACAATATGTGAGAAAAGAAAAGGTTACAGTTCTTCCAGGAAATTCTTGTTATTGTAGATAAACTGTTTTTTTTTCAAATGTGTTTTGAAAATAAATACTTCTCTATACTGTTGGAATTTCCCATTAGTAACAGGAAGAAACAGTAAGACTTTCACTATAGAAGATGTCAATTCACTCTTTTTTATTTTAAGATCAATCCCCAGGGAATTTTTTTTAAAATGCACTATATTGTATTTAAAAAAGAAAGCAACACAGAAAACTTAGCAAACATTTGCTGTCAGGTTACATGATGATGTCCCAACAGTAAATTGTACGCACAAAATTTAAGAAAACACATTGCCTGCTGAGTATTTGTAGCATAGAATTCAAGAAAACAATTCAATGCTGATTATGAGTTATACATTTAATTTTCTAGTAATTACTAAGGAAATACAATTATACAGTTCCTTTTTTTTTCTTGATGCAGTAAGATTTTCCCATGATAGAGTTGAAGTGAATTTACTTCTATTTTTTAGATTTTGAGTATGTGAGATTCACATTCAACTATTTTCTTTTTTTAACATAGGAGAGGTGTATTTTTCACTACATTACCATCAAACAGTTTAATTTTCAAGGAAATTATTGTCTCTTTGACAGAGTAAGGAATTTACTGATTTTCCCAGGAAGTTGACATACTCAGGAGTAAGTGGAAAAAAACGGGTCCTACTGATACAGTCCTTTGCAGAAAGTAGAGCAAAATACTAACAGTTCTTATTAAAGACAGAGAAACTTTGAAAAGAAAAAAATTTATCTGCCGACCCAGTCATCCATCTAACCATCCATTCCCCAACCACTGAATATCTATCTGTTCACTAAGAGTCTATTACGGCCACTCACTGAAGGAAGTGTGAACACAAATGACAGAAACACTTGAGATCCTTGCTCTTGTGTAGAAGAGGTGCCAGACACTAAGCAAAGAACCATGAAGAATTGTTAAAATACATGCTTATTCCTACAAGGAAAAGGGTCTAAAGACTTTTTAACATTTTTACAAAGAAGACAGGGCCTTGTCTAGAGGCTGAATCAAATCTGTTTTCCCTAACACCTTTGAACTGAGCCACTGCCACTGATAAGATGCATCATATTGTTCAAATGTTCTGGATCAGGAAAATGGTTGGTAATTCAGCCTAAGACAGTTATTTACAGGTTAAAGAAGTGACATGCTTCCCTGGTTGGTATAGTTCAGTGGATTGAGCACGGGCTGTGAACTAAAGGGTCTCTGGGTTCGATTCCCAGTCAGGGCACATACCTGGTTTGCAGGCCAGGTCCTGGTCCCTGGTGGGGGCCACATGAAAGGCAATGGAACATGGATATTTTCTCCCTCTCTTTGTCCCTCCCTTCCCCTCTTTCTAAAAATAAATAAATAAAATCTTAAAAAAAGAAGTGACATACTTAAAACCATACATAATTGCTAATAGATTTGTACTGCAGCCCAGGTATTTTAATTCAGCACTCAACTTACTATTCCAAATTGACTCTTAACTGAACACATCTACATTCCATCCACTTTTACAATTGCTGTTGATTGCTGCCTCTTTCCCCTTTATCAAGTGATGACTGCAGGTTTATTATTGGTAGCATTTATTAATTACTCTACTGCACTCAGCTCATGCTTTGTTCACTGTATCCTCAGTCATCAGATACCTTTGGTAACTTATTAATTTAGAAAATCAACTGTACTGCTGTTTCCTCAGAGTCCACAAAACTCTTACACATTTATATTTTATGTCTTTGATTATAGTGGTCAGTAATCTAGGGCCAACAACTTCTGCCTGTATTTGTAAATAAAATTTTATGAGAACACAATCACAACTATTTATTTACATAATGTCTAGTCTGTTTTTAAGCTACAGTGACAGAGTTTAGTAGTGATGATAGAGACCATATTGTCTGCAAAGCTGAAGGTATTTACTATGTGGCTTTCTACAGAAAAGTTGAGAACATACATTCTTTAATGACTAGATATTCTTTTATAAAAGAAGGTTGCATTTACATTACTCACTAACTTTTGTATATTGGAATTATTATAGATCAACATTAATACACTTATTGAGAACACTCCAGGGATTTAAAAAATTGTCATAAAGAATATTTTCTTTCTTAGACTATGGTTTAACAGAGTATTCAACAGCTTTGAAATCAGATAGAAGTAGGGGGTGACAGCTTTTCCAATGATAAGCTGTGAGATCTTGGGCAAGTCACTAAATATAAGCCTTCCTATTCTAATTTGTATTTAAGGCACTCACACTTCTCATTCAGAGTTCTAGAAATATCAGAGATCAAATGTATAATATACCCACACCCTATCTAGCTCATGGCCCCCCTAAATGGTAACATATTAGTAAACAATACAATATTTCTCCAGTCAAATTTGCTTACTATCCACTCAGATAAGTAAGATAAATAACAAATGCTTAAATATTGTACACTGATCTATGTCAGTGTCAACTTTTTGTAGATTAAGTTTTAATTTCTGTATTGCTTATGGATTGGTTACTCAAGATATTTGAATAATTGTTCAACTCTGGAGGTAAAGGGCTTTTTGTTACCAGAACCTACTTTTCCAGGCTCCATAATATTATCAAGTAAGCAGAGAATTTTGAATATTTAGGCACATGTGGAAGCCATTGAGTTATGCAGCTTAGATCTCCCTTCAAGGGAAAACTGGCCTTTCAGCTGAGTACCTTCAATTAGGCCAACCCTGAGCATGGCACATACTTGATCCTGGCCCTTTCTGCTCTCTGGGAGACAACTCTGACAGGTAGTCTTTGCTATGGGGCACCTTTTTGGGTTCTTGAAGTCCTTGTCTCATCTATAGCACAGTCCCCAGCTCTACAGGCCAGTCGTGCCTCAACCTCATTATTTTTTACAGGTTTATAACTTCCTCTTTGTCTGCATCCCCAGGAACTCAAACTGACAGTAAATAAATGAAAATGGGAAAACTTTTACATACATAAGTAATACTAATGGGAAAATATGGGAGACTGAAGTATAAATAAAAACAGTTGTAATAAAAATATACCATACACTTTTTGAATTGTTATAAATAAATACACACATGTATGTGTGTGTGTGTGTATACATATACAGATACATATACATATATCAAGGGCTATTTTAAAATACTAAATGTTTGCCCTCGGTTTTGCTGATCACTTCATTTTTATATACAATATAAACATTAATAACTTCAAGGAAATAGCACAATTCACATGTTGCAAGGCCACCAAACATAAATTCCTTAATCTAAGAAAATTATTTTAGCAACAGTTTTTCACTACCTCCAACAGAGACATCAGTAATCAGCACATTCATCTATTCATAATAGAGATTGCTTGTAGGTGATCTATTGTACTTTTTAAGAAACAATGTGTTTCCACTTCAAATGAACTTCAAGGCCACTTCCTAAACCTTCAAGAGTGATGACCTACCTGTAAGCAGTTTAAAAAAACTGCTGCTTTACAAGCATTTTCAACAAAGTGATAATGAAAGTCACATCTTTCACTTTGTCACCTTCCAGGGCAACCTGCCTTAGACAACTCTTCTTTTGTGTTACACAACTTGTGTATGACTTTTTAATTCCCAAACTTTATCATCCTCTTCTTTCCTGTCTCACATATTCTATTTCCCCTTCTATAAGTGATTTTTGCCTCTTGAAATGGAACTGACAGCTAGGATGATACATCCTCCCTGAAGTTAAGTGAGGGCAACAATATGAATTTTGAGACTTTTCAACAACTTGATTTTTAATTACTTTTTAAATTAATTAATTAATATTTTAGAGAGAGGGGAAAGAAGGGAGAAAGACAGGAAGAGAAACATCAATGTGTGAGAGAAATATTGATCAGTTGCCTTGTACACATCCCCCGACCAAGGACTGAACCTGCAACCTAAGTATGTTCCCTCACCACTAATCAAACCAGTGACATTGCACTTTGCAGGACAACACCCAACCAACTGAGCCACATGGATTAGGGCTCAACGACTTGATTTTGATTGATACTGATTTTGATAATACTGACAGCTTTGTTTTTAAATTTACTTCCAATTCTTGAAAGAGATTTTAAGGGCTCAGTTTTCAACTAAGATGTTTGATAATTATCATCTCACAACCATTCAGCCTAAACATGGCCTGTAATGGAGAATATGAACATCTGGCTTATTTTGCTCACAAAATGTCACTCTGTTATACTGGATTTTACCTGAGGGATGCTGAGATAGCTGACCAGCATGAAGTGTGCAGTATGTTCAGTTGTTGGAGAAAAGCCTATTACTTCTCTGAGGATGATACATTTTACATTCTTAAGCTCTCTAACTAAAGAAACTAACTTTTAAATGTAATTGGAGGAAAATGACCCATGTTAGCTTCCAAATATGAAGCAGAGGGATGAAGGGGTCTAAATAATGCCAGGAAGCAGTTGACAATCATATGTACCAAACCAGGTGGCTAGCTTGCATCAAGGACTAGCCTTGCACTCACACAAGCTATGATACATCAAGGCCAGTGAAGAGAGACATTACGAACTATTCACTATATTTCAGGCATCATTTAAAATAGAGCTCAGCAAATTGACTTGCGGCCTGTTTTTGTATAGCCCATGGTTTGAGAAGAGTTTTTACATTTTTAAAAGCTAAAAGAAAAGAAACAAAGAAATAAAGATATGTGATAGATACCATGGGCTGTCAAGACTAAAACATTTGCTACTTGGTTGTTACAGAAAAAGTTAGTCAACCCCTGGATAAATATATTGAGGATATAACAGTATAAAAGAAAAAGAGAGAGCAGGCCTTGGTCATATTGAACTAATATTCTAGAGGGAAGGATACAAGTAAGCAAGAAAAAGGGAAATGCATAGTTCACCAGGTGGGAAGTAGAAATTAAAGCAGAGAAGAACCTGGATGGATTCCTGGTCCAGAGAGCAAAGGTGACATACAGTGGGATGACGGACTTTGGGTTTACCTGGACTTTTGAGGTGGTAACAGCCATAAAGTGACAGTAGCAAGCTGAGACAGTCATGTGACTGTTATGTGACTTCAGAAAGGGGTGATATGCCATCTGACACCCAAACTCTGGGCTCTTCTGCAGGTAGGGAGCTGGACCAGGGAAGGGGAAACCAGGTCCTGGATCCCTCTGGACATGAGTTTTGGTGTCAGGGTAGTTCATGTTCACAGCTGGGTTTGGAGCACATCTACTGGGAGGTAGTGCATGGTGTAGGTCAGGGAAAAGAAGCCTCATGCAGGGTTCTGACTGAGAAAGCTGAAACTAAACATTTCCTGAAACTGCAGCAGATAACAGGAGACCACTGACAGGCATACTGTTCTAGATGATGGATAAAAAACATGACCAGAAACAAAGTTGTCCTACTGTCAGCATCAAAACATAAGAGATACCACACTGAGTCCAATGGTATTTACTGCCATTGCTTTTACTAATCACCATTGGTCTCGGCTGCTCTGCCTCAGCATTGTTCCAAGAACTGAAGACACACTGGTGTGTGAGAAAATGCATTTTATTTTATTTTTTAGCTTTTTAGTTTTTTTACCGTTGTTTAAATTACAGTTGTCCCCATCCCCCCATTGCTGTCCCCTGCCCTACCCACCCACTCTCTCCCACATTCAATCCTTCCCCCCATTGTCTTTGTCCATGGATCTTTTATATATCTTACTTGATTTGACACTTGCCCTTCTTTCCCTTGTTATCCTCACCCCCACCTGCCATTCACTGTCAGTTTCTTCTTTATTTCTATGTCTCTGGTTCTATTTTGCTCATTTGTTTGTTTTGTTGGTTAGGTTCCACTTATATAGGTGAGATCATATAGTATTTTTCTTTCACCACATGGTTTATTTTACTTAGCATAGTGGTCTCCAGTTCCATCCATGCTGTTGTGAGGGGTAGGAATTCCATCATTCTTTCTGCTGTGTAGTAATCCATTGTGTAAATGTTCCACAGTTTTTTTTCTGTTTGTTTGGGGTTTTTTTTTGATCCACTCATTTACTGATGGGCACTTAGGCTATTTCCAGCACTTGGCTATTATAAATATGCTGCTGTATTTTAGATTCACCTCTGGTGGTATTTATATCTACTGCATAGTTTCACACTTTCATAAGTTCTGCACTCAAATAGAGTGGGCAGGAATAAGGAGGATGTGGCTACCACATGAGTGACAAGCATGGAGGCAAATGGATAGAAGTGAGGCCCTGAGGCATTGAGAGCTGGTACAGGATGGTGGGGTTTCTCCAGAGCAATAGTTTCTGGGTGGGGCAGAGCTCCTGTGTCAGCTGTCAACTCAAGGCCACCTCAGGCTAATTCCATAGTTCTTTCTGTTACTACAGCTCAGGAAATGGTCATTTCTCTCCAAAGACCAGAATTTAGATGTTTCTTTCCTATGTCCAGAGTGGACAAGTCCACAGTCCTTATCTACATAATTTATATACTTATTCTGGATGTCAGAAGGACAGACATATTGATAGTTATACTAGCAGATATTCACTAAGGGCTTAGGTGTACCAAGAAGGTCACACATCCTCAGCTTTGTCCTCAAACTAATCATGAGAAGGCAAATAATACCAATCCATGTTCCAGAGGGAGAAACTGAGGCAAAGGGAGCTGAGTAACATGTCCAGTTCACATAGCCAGTCAGCCTGTGAAGCCAGCATCTAACTGCGGACCCCACATGTCCTTATAACAAAGGCACTGGCCTCTTTTCCACAGGGATTAATCTGTTAAGACAATAAATTCTAAGGATATACTGCTTTTACATGGGTAGTTTGAACTTCACTCAAATATTACAAGTGTTTCCCAAATGTCCTGCTTTTATTACCCTCATCAGCATTACAAATTCTTCTAGTTTGATCCTGAGAATAATTTCTTCCTCCTTCTCCTCTTCCTCCTCCTCCCCATCCTCTTTTTCCTTCTTTCTCTTCTCTCTGTTTTACTCCTCATTCTCCCATTCTCCTTTTTTTTTTTGGTTAAGACCCCATTTTCTTTCCCAATTTATGCTCGTTTTCCATCCTTTAGCTTCTGGGCAACACAGCCAACCCTGCCCATTCTGGACCTAGTTCCCCTCTGATTCAGCTCAGACATGTTCTGCTCAAATTCCTTGCCCCCACCTCTACCCCAGGCTCAGTCAGTCTTGGGTCCATGGCTTCCCCTACAGACATTAAAATTTATTGTTTTGAATATTAATAACTTTTGAGGACAGAGTACCAGTTGTCTGAGTTCACTTTTATGTACCAGGCAATGAGTAGGTAGCAATTAAGACTTGTCACTAAGATAAACAACAAATAGTAAATTTCATGGGGAGAAGTGAATTGAGTGATTTTTTTTCTACCCATATGTTTTCCTTGTCTTTATGAGCAATTTCCTAGTTTATTGTGAACTATTTAATATAAACTGTCTAAATCAAGTAAAGTTTGAGAAATGAAATAGATTTCACTGCATAAAATAGTAAGCAAATCCAAATACTCTTTAAAAACAAAATCCAAAACCCTTAGTTAATGAGAAATGGCTTTTTAAACCATTCATTCATCCATCCATTTTACTTTTTCGGTGCTTTTTAAGCAAAATCTGAAAATTTACAGGAACACAGCGCCTTCTAAATTTGACTTCTACATGTGGTACCATATGAAAAACATACATGAGAGAATTAAAAATTACTTTTCACTTCACTTTATTTACATTTATAGGGAACATATGCACTTTTTTATACAATGTATTAGCTGCCTACCCTCACTCAACAGGTTTCCCAGGTTTATCTCTCTGAGTGTGACAGGGCCCTGGACACAGTGACCCAAGTGCAGCAGAGCAAGACACTCCTTACCTTTGAAGAAGACAAAGTTCCCATCATTGTTTTCGTACACTGCGTCGATACCCGGAGGCAAGCCACGCCAGAAGTAAGTGATCTGCATGGGGTACCCATCCATGACCCTGTTGTTCCTCACACGCCAGAACCACTGTTCCTGCAAGCCAAGCACAAGGTAGCTCAGCATTGCTGCCTGGCTGCTTGGCCTTGGGGAGGGGTGGAGTAAGGGGAGGTGCAACACTTGAAGCCATGCCCACATCCTTGTCACATCAGTCCAGAAAGAGGTAAACATCTGCCTACAATGAGTTTTTGATAGTAAACCTCCCAACCTCTAACCCATATAGTGTGGTTAAAAGAATAATGCAAAAAACTCAATCTTGGTATTGACATTATACACAGGGCTTCCCAGGTTGAAAAAAGGAGGGAGCCCAGACCATACCCTGCCAGATCTGTGGACAAGTCAGCTTTCTAGAGTGTGAAAGCTGTGTGGGGACAGATAAATCACCCTGGGATGTGGGCTCCACCTCCAGGGTTGGGGATGCCTCTTAACTCCCCCACATTGCAACCAACATACTGTGGAGTTATAATGGAATCCTCTGTAACAATTTAATGTGTTCTGCCTGGGTCAATAAATTACATAGTCATTGCAAACTGACAGAGTGATCTTGAAAAAACATCATCACAGAGGATTCCAGACTGGGTCAACTGCTTGTCCTATATGTTCCCAAAATGCTTTGGGCTCCACTCAGGCACAGCAAAGATCATTTAATGTTACAAGTGTCTGTTCCTATCTCTAGTGAATAACACATGGCTTGCACCAGAGCAGAGGTTCATAAATGTTGGTGAGTTGATAATTAGTCTACACACAGTATGTTTCACCATAAATACTTACTAATGGCAAAATAATCTAGAATTATACATTTGATGACATTGTTTTCTACTAAAAAATTCAGAATAATTTAGTGATTATCCAAAGTACTTTAATATTAGAAAAACTGGATGTTTTAAAAATTAGTTTTCAATAAATTAAAATTTACTATTTCACTTTAATTTAAATTTCTGTGTGTACAATTTCACTTGCAAGTTATATATTTGTACTATTTAGATAAGTGTGTATAACACCAATACTTTTGTTTCCATTCCTTTTTGTTCCTCCTCTCCCAAATCATTTTAAGTGATTAATTGTAGGGATTTCCTGAGCTTTTAGTAAGAATAGGTTGGCCTGATTAGGTTTCTCCAGATTTTTCAATTATTCATCCGTCCATTCACACATATGCACACACATACCACATACTCTACTGAGGATTCTTGGATTTGAGGTGATATAAAATTGAACCTTTTCCATGTAAATAAATCCAACTAGTAAATTTTTAGGAACCTTTGAACAGTTGCCCTTTGTTTAGTTATCATGGGCTGTTTTCTCTACTAACCTCTGTTATTTATGAATAAAGAAGAAAGTTGATGAATTAAGGGCTCTAGGTTGTCCAGTACCAATAACTGTCACCTTGGGAAATATACTAGTCACTGAGTAATTACATACCAATATCCAGCCAATAACCCCAACTAATAACATCAAATAAAATGAGGTGGTCCTGCTAGACTCTTGCAGGTTGTCTTTAATTTCACTGGGGACACAAGTTAAAGGTTGGCCAGAGTAATTCTGAGACAAATGACATAACACAGCACCTCACAAGCTCAAGTCACTTGACATATTGTCCGCCTTTTCAAAAGATGCTCCAAACACACACTCACAGTATGGGGGAAGCAAGTAACATATTAACAAGTGATTCTTTTAAATAGTATCCAAATTCACAATTCTGGATTTTCCTTAAATGTCTATTTTCAAGAAAGAACCTGTTATAGTCACCATGAGGATTTAGAAATGTAAATTATTTAAAAATAGAAATGCATACTCATGTTTCAAATAAAAAAAGTTGGCATTTTCAAAATGTGTTTATTACTTGTACTAGATGTATATGTTACTTTTAATATTCTCAAACTGTTAAAATGTATCATTGATTATAGGTTGACTTATATTACAATAATCTGGACACCACAGGGTTAGGTAATAGATCAGATAGTGATAACTTTCTTATTAATTAGTATTTTTTAAATCCAGACATAAAGAATATTAATTTTTGAATGGATGGAGGGAAGATGGTGGTGAGGTAGGTGGAAGCAGGACCCACTTGCTCATGCACCCAACTGGGATACCTAGCCCATCTTCCAAAGAACAGAGTGAACAGCCAACAGAAGTCCAGCCAATGTGAAGTTTGGAAGCCAAAGGTTGCAGGGGGCATTTAAAAATGGACTGTAAGGAGATTGTGTAAGTAGACAGGAGGGTCCCCGGGCCCTGCACCAGAGACTGTGGCTGCCACAAGAACTTTGGAGGACAGTTGGGTCAATGATTATAACTTAGCAGCTGCCTCCCCTCCCAGAAGACACCTGGATGCTTAAAGGTGCCAGGGGGATAAAGACACAGTAAGAGACAAACAGCTGGTGGTGTACCCTGGCTGGCATTGCGATTACCAACTAGGACAGTACCAGAGAAACTAGGGAGCTGAGCAGCACCTGTAGGTGGGAGAAGAGATGGGATGTAACCAGACATGACCCAGATAATCTGTGGACTGGTCAGAGAGTTAGTCTGTGTGGAAAGCCAAGTGCTTGCTAAGAATGGCCATTGGATTCCTAGGGGAATTTTTTCAACAAAGGCTCTCAGTTACAGTGCAAGGATCTCTCGTGCACAGCAGCCAGCCCAGGGAAGAGGGAGTAGGAGGAGCATAATTTGCTCTAAATCAAGGCACCTTACAAATTAATCAAGGGGAGCAGCAGGGGCTTAGAGAGGTAGGGGCACTAAAGTGCCCTAAAAGGACTTTGTCCCAGAGCAGCTACCAGGCCAGCAAACAAGGAGGAGGAGGGGTGTGACTTATTCCCACTCAGGTAACCCCAGGGACTGATCACTGGTTTTCACAACAAGGTAGATTGTAGGTGCCAGCCTGGTGCATATGGGCAGAGTGGACAGTGTGGTCCGCAGAGCACTCTTAAGAGTATGGGCTGGAAAACGGGCACCTGTGCTTACTGTAGTCCAGACCCAGCCCCATTCTAAAGGAACCACAGGAAAGAAAAAAAAAAATGGAGCCTAGTCGCCTTTATCCTACAGCATCCAGGAATACCAAGAAAACCAGCCTGTCAGGTTTAAAGACAGTAGGGGGCTTATTTTTTTTTCTTTTTTTTTGTTTCTTTTTTTTAAGTGAAAGACAATAAGGCCTGGAGTGATAAGAAGACCAAAGATAGATCTACAAAGAAGTCAGAAGGCTAAAGACAAGAGCTGGGGCAAATTTCACCTTGCTATCCTTCAGAATTTGCATTTTATTTTTTGTTATTTTTATTTTTATTATTTTATTTTTGTATTTCTCTTCTTTTTGTTTAGTTTCTTTTGTTTTGTTTGTTAGATAGGTTTTTGTTATTATCCCTTTTACATTGCATTTTAATTTCTCTTCCTTCACTCGTATTCCAATGACACACTACTTTTGGTCTTTTCATTCTTTTTATTCATATTATGTATTCCTTATATTATTGTTATTCCAAATCCCACATAGCACCCTTCCCTGGTTTTAATTCATTTTGCCATTTTCCTAAGCTATATTATTGTTGTGGTTAACTATATTCTATCACACACTATGCCAAGTTTCTAGCCCATACTCTCACCATATCTCACCACCTAAACTCGCATAAGTGCTCTGCTTTCTAAAGTCAGCTCACATTTTTGCCTCCTAATAAGATTCTTAACTCCTTTTCACCTTTTATAAAATGTATCTACTTGGGTGAAATATCATGGTTATCTCTATACTTCTCCAAAGGATCTCCTATCTGTTCTCTACTTGTTGGTTTTCTCAATCTCATAGAATAATTTCCCACTGTCTTAGTCCATTTCCCCTTAACCTTGTCCTGATCACATATAAGATAAAGTAGGAGTTGTGAATATAAGAAAAGCTAGTGGAAGAAGAGAACCCACCATCAAGTAAAGCCTGAATAAGTGAGAGTCCACACAAGTGGAAGAAAAGGCAACCCTTGAGCATTCAGTCAATGAGATCAAAGTCAGGGCACCTCTGAGTCCTACAGAACTGTTACCACAGAAGTTCACCCTGTAGAGACAGCTGGCAAAGCAGAGCATTGGGAAACACAGAAACAAACAAAAAGAGTCACTAGAATGGGCAAAGAAAGAACCTACAATCAAAAGGGATGGAAGACTCCCTAGTAAAAAAAAAGATAAATGAAATGAAGACAAACAATCAGATACACAATTCAAAAGAATGGTGATAAGGATGGTCAAGGAACTCACAGACATGTACAAGGAACTGAGTAGTGACTAAAACAGTGTCAAAAAGGAAATAGAACCTACAAAGAAGAATGAGGAAGAAATGAAGAATATGATTTATGAAACAAAAAAATATACTAGAAGGAATTACAAGAAGGCTGGGTGAAGGAGACGATCAAATTAATGACCTATAAGAAAAGGTAGAAAGAAACACCCAGGTAGAGCAACTTCCAAAAGAAAGGATAAAAAAATGTTAAGATAGCTTAAGGGAACTGCAAGACAATGTGAAACACAACAACATTTGAATCATAGGAATAACAGAAGGAGCCACAAATGAGCAACAGTTAGGAACCCTATTTGAAAAAAAAAAAATAAAGACAGAAAATTTCCTAAACTTGGACAGGGGAAAAGCATGCAAGTTCAAGAATCAAGGAGGGTCTCACTCAAGAGAAGCAAAAAGAGGTCTATTCTAAGACACATCATAAATAAAATGCCGAGTTTTAAAGTCAGAGAGAGAATCTTTAAAGAAGCAAGGGAGAAAAAAGAAGCAACATACAAGGGAACTCCAAAAGACTAACAGCTGATTTCTCATCAGAAACACCAGAAGCCAGAAGTGAATGGCAAGAAACATTTCAAGTAATGAAAAGTAAAGGCATACAACCAAGACTATGCTACCCAGCAATGCTTTCAAATAAAAAGAGAGGGTTAAATAAGGAGTTTCTCAGACAAAAGACTGAAAGAATACACCTCCACCAAATGAGCACTGCAAAAAATGCCAAAAGGACTGTTTAAGAAGACCAGGAAAAAAGCATAGAAAAGCAGAGAGAGGAACAGAGGTA